AAATAATTTAATCAGGAAGGTGAGATGAAGGCGTTCACATATTTTATCATATGATATTGCATATTATATTCCAACATCATTCAGAATATAATTTATCATTCTCCAAGTTGAAAACTAGAGGACAAAACAGAGAAGATAAAAAAAAAACTACCTTATCATTTGCATGTTAAAGCAATAAGCTTTTATGAGGCTTATGTTAATGGAAGCCAAGTAGATATTAGTTGGATTGCAAGACAATGAAAAAGGGTACACTACTTATCCATTGCCATTTACAATTTTAAAGACTAAACTTTAGTAAGTACCATGAATTCCAAATGAAAGAGATGAACTGTTTGAACATAAAATCCTAAAACTTCAATACCAGATTCATGGATTAATTAAACGTATGGTTTAATGGTTTGCAAGTTAAGATACTTTTTCACCGGACGGTACCGATTGGCGATTTCAATTTCTAAGTATTTGCTTTGTACCAAGGTTTGCTGCTTGAGCCAAAAAAAATCATGTTAAGTTAAATTGAGAAACTAATTGGCAGCAACAAGCAAAGATTGAAGCAACTACTAATCATATCATACACTTAATAAACTAAGAAATATTATGAACCAAATACAATTTACAAACAAATTACAATTAAAAGTAAGAAATTTGTGAATAAGCAGACAAATTTAGTTATAAAAAATATATTCCATTTCATCAGGATCTTAGGAAAGTCACCTCATTACAGCCTAATGATGAACTCTCTCTCACCTCCTCTCTCTCCTTCTCTCAAAGTATCAGCAGCTTACTATATAATACAGGATGTAATTTTTTCAATTTTGAATTTTTTTGGAAAAAAGAATTGAGAGGAAGGAGAGAAACGCTATAACTTTCTAATAACAAGCAAAACCGGAACCACCGACTACGAGGGAGGGGTGGGAGGCCGTACGGAGATTTGAACCGGAAGGGGTCGACCAGTACCAGAACCACCACAGCTTCTGCAGAACGTGCGACCCGACCCGGCACAGCTCCGGCACCCGACATCGCCATCGGACCAGCGCGAGCAGAAGCAGGAGACCCGACCCGTGCCATTGCAACTGGGGCACCTGGGAAACGGGCCGGCCATGGGCTTCTGGTCCATGACCGATTTGACGAGGACCGCCCCGGCCAAGACGCCGAGACCCGTAGCCAGCTGGGTCAACACAATCGGACCACCCATTGTTGATAAGGAGCGAGGAGAGAGCAGAGAGAGGGAAGAAAAGAAGCGAAAGGCGCAGAGAGAAGGGAGATTTTGTAATTTTTTTGTTGGTGGGTTTTATTGTGAAGTTCTGAGAAATATAAAATGTTTATGGGCTTGAAGTTGAACACGTAGACGCGTGTGTGTGTTGGGGGCTTGGGTTGGGGTGGATTTTTAAAGGGGGTTGGGGATTTTGGAATTTTGCGGACGTGTTGGTTTTTTATTTTGATTTTTCTTGCTTCTACGCTACTTCTACACTTGCTTGTTTCTATTTCATTTTTTGTCACATGTAGCATGTTTGTGACTTGTGGGTGATGCTAAATGGTTTTTGAATTTCTTTGAAGTGGATAACCCACAAAGAATATTCTCTTTTATTATTATTATTTTTAAATTATTAACAAATGTTTGACACAAGTCTCATTTTTATAAATATTAAGTTTACTGAATCAGACTGACAAATTTCATACGGTATTAAAGTCAGAAGATAATTCAATGCATTCACAAGACGTGACTCGTGCTTCAAAGTTTCAAACTATTTTGACTAACTTGATTAATATTAATATAAATAAACTAAGTCTTTCAAGTTTTATACCTAGTTTTTGAAGTAGGTATTAGGTTGAGTTTGATGTTAGAAGAAAGACACAAGTTGAGTGGAGGGAAAATCATACAGCTATAAGTTAAGCCAAGATACAATTTTTCTAATTTGGAATAAACCTCGTTGGTATATAATTTTGAAGTTGTTGAAAACTCTCTCTGAAGCGGTCAAAGTCAACTACTTTTATTTATTAATCTTTCAATACCGAGTCTACCGAGTACCGACTGATCTCCTAGCAAAGACAAATTTGCGGCGCCGCCTAAGTGCTCTCTCTTGTCAGTATTCTATTGGAAACCACCACCGCAATTCTCAACAATCTCTGGTCCAACTACTAATGGCCTGACAAAATGTTAAGGTTCGTGCATTTGCCCAGTGTATTTTCGCGACCGATTAGAATTATTTACAAAAAAATTGTGAAACTTAACAACACGTTGAGATGGCCGAGTTGGTCTAAGGCGCCAGATTAAGGTTCTGGTCCGAAAGGGCGTGGGTTCAAATCCCACTCTCAACACGAATCTTTTGTTTTTACCTCTTTTTTTTTATTTTTGGGGAGAAGTGGGGGGGTTGGAATTTTCCTCTGCCTAACATGGCTCTCTCTCCTCTTTACGATTGATACTTTAAGAGCATCCACAATTATGCTCTCTATTTCTTAGCTAAAATTTGGCTAAAAATATAATAAAACTATTTTAGAAGCTCTCTAAAAAATTTCAACTCCAACCATATTCCCTAATTTAGAGAGTCATAAATGCTATAACTCTTTTTTGATTGGTTCATCTCTATTAAAAAATAAAATAAAAGGATAGTTAACATTAAATAAAAGTTTGAAATACTCATTAAATAAAGCAACATTAAATTATAGGGAGTCACTAGGAGTTATTTCTCTCTCCTCAGATTTAAGGGGTTATATTCAATTGAGATTTTAATTAATTGTTTTGAAGCTTAAAAATCCAGTGATATTCAATTAAGATTTGTAAGTAATCAATAAAAATCTAGTGGTATTCAATTAGGATTTTTAAATCATAAATATAAGTCTGGTGGTATTCGATTAGGACTTTTAAAAGATAAGACAAAATACCGTGGTATTCAAAAACTTATTGATTTTGAAGTATTTTATTAAATGATGTATTGTGTGGGACTTTTGAGTGGGTGATATAAATACCAAACCCCATAAAAAATCTCACCCTCCTATGCCTGATTCTCACGTTCTTTGTTTTTCTTTTGGGATAAGATGAACAGACACATCTAAAAAGAGCTCCCATTTCATGGTTGTTCTCTATACTAGCGATGTTCGTATACGTTTTGCATCTGTTCATGGTTATTCTCTCTCTATTAACTAGCGCTGGTTGTATGCATTTTGCGTCTTCATCGTTGTTCTCCCAGCCACTCACTCCATTAACACTTCAGTTTTTAAATCCTATCAAAACAAGATTATTTTGCTGAAAGACATGTAAAGTATTGTATAATTTATTTGCTGACTTTAAACGAAAAGCATGTTATCCAACCAAGATTATATCAAAAGGCAGAGAGAATTATGGCAAAGATGAATGAGAGGCAAACAGAAAAATTCAGAAACACACAACACCTCAAGCATCAACACCTGGACTAGACTAGGAGAGATAATTATGTATGATTTATGATATAGTAGTAAACTTCTTTGGTTGTGGTGTTTTGGTTGAACTTTGTCTATTAAATAGTCTCAATTGAATTTTATTTTTGGTATTTTAGTTGAACTATGTATTTTGGTTGTGGCATTTTAGTTGAATTATGTATTTTGGTAGTGGTATTTTAATTGAATTATGTATTAGGTTTAGTTCACTGAGTGATAAATCCGTTGATGTATGGAATAGCATTGTTAGTGAAATAATGGGTGGGATGAATATGTGTTTTGAGTAATGTGTGCACAAGTGATTTTCTAATGAAGTTAGGTAATAACTGTATTATCAATTCATGAAGGTTTATAAGTCGCATGCATGAATTTGATAAGCTTGTATGGTTTAAGCCTCCTTAGTTAGATAATGCACATAAGATTATTATGTAATATTATTATGGCAGAGAGGAATTACTTTTGATTACAGAAAGGAAGAACTAATTTTATGTTGTATTATTTGCTTCAATTCGTTTGAGTGTGTTACATACGATTCTCTCCTTATATTTTGCTTGTGAGAGTTAATGGTAGTTTCACATTTGTAGTTGAGTGCTCAGGTGAGTGGTGTTCTTGCATGTTATGTCTAGGCTTTCGGTATCTTTAACGTATTCATTCTGCCCATGTGTGGCTATGTTGGGAGTTACATTGTTGATGTCGGTGTACTCTCCTCAGACTAACCTTTGATCGTTACTGTGCCTCCATCTTTGTATTAACCCTAAAAATTGGGTATATTCCTTCAAGTTATGTATTTAGGTGAATGATGATGGGTGATATAGTTCAAGCTTGTATAGAAATATAAATAAAATCATGTAATTACAATATATTAAAATCATAAGTAAAATCCCAAGCGAATTAAAATCATAAGTGAAATCATGTAATTGCAATGTATTAAAATCATGAGTAAAATCATATAATTACAAATCCGGTTGAAATCCATTACATTAAAATCATGTAATTACAATATATTAAAATCTCAATTGAATACACTCCCCTTAGGAGCTACTAGAGGACTCCCTATTTTAGGAGGTGGATATGGAGCGTGGTTGGAGTTGCATTTTTACGATTCCTCCCTAAAATTTGTCTAAGAAGGTGGTTTAGGGAGCCCATTGTGGATACTCTAAGGCCTGAAACTCTGTTTAGGGGCTGTCTCAATTTAATGAGTTTCTCTTCTCACGCAAAGGGAGAATGATGTAAATTTAAATACAATTTGCTATTTAATAGATAATTAACCGCGGCCAAAGCATCCATTTAACTACTCATACCCTAAAACAAAAGTACAATTTTTTCCTTAGGCCTGGAAACAGACTACAAAATTGATTTGCGAGAAAACTACAAAATTGATTTGCGAGAAAACTACAAAGTTGCACCGCAGGGGCATCAGCTCTGAATTTTACAAAAATATCATCCCCAGTTAAATCAGACTATCAAGAAAATCTATTGGCACTAGATAGATTCAATTCCTCAACAAAATCACAGGCTATCTAACCAATGCTACTTGCATAATTGCATTGCCCTGTTTTTTTTCTTGCATTCATATTTCTTTTCTTATGGTTTTTTGTTTCTGCATCCGACTTGTAACAAGCCGCACATTCATGGGTGCCGCACCATTGTAGTTACCACATAGCTCTCCCACATGTCCTTGTGTAGCAATTCTCTAACAACTCTTTATTGCCAAAATATCCTTTCGAATGAATCCAAAATTTCGATGAAAAAGAATATCAATCTCAGTATACTTGTCTGATGTTGATGTTGATTCTTGAACTTCGGATGTATTCTAAAACACTAAAATCATCCTCCTGTGAGAACTGCCTCTGAAGAGTCACAATTTCATCATTTTCTCCGTCTGTGAATATCCGAGGCACACCTGCAATTTAAGAAAGCAAAGCTGATCTATTTATGAAGATGTTAAAACAAGACTCTAGGAATTAATTATGATATAGCATGCAATTACAACATGTTTCTGGCAAATGGGAAAGTCAAACTGCTCTATTTATCACAAGAAAGCACATGGGATTAAGGCTGAGTAGAGTTACTTAAGTTGAGGCGCAAAGTAACACTGTTAGTTTGACATAAAGGCAGCCCAAGCAACAGATATGCCAAAGCAAAAATTAGAAACCAAACTAAAATTCCAGCATCACTTTTCTCAATTGTAGATTGGTCTTACCATTTCACTGACGATTTACACGATTGGAAAAACATAGAGATTAGCCATTAAGTACCGATTTATTATCTTAGGCACTCAATACCAAACAAAAGAAAGATAGCTGAAGATTTGCACTTACCATGAAAGCATTCCCTTGCTTCCCCAGCCATAAGTACAACATCACCGCTTCGAAGGAACATTGCTATTGGAGGATCTTCCCTATGCTTTCCTCCCAAAAGGAATATTGCTTTGCAGCCTAAACTGAGGGAAGTGAAAGATATTTCAGCTCCTACGGAGATGTATACTCTCAAATTTCTATTTTTCTTTTTTGACAAACATCCAGAATCAAAAAACAAAAATGAAATGGCATGGCAAGATACCTCATGCTTACAATAGGCTTACTCCAATCAGCTTCCATGTCATCAAGGTGGCCCCCAAGCATATCACCTAAACAAAAGAACAGAACACAGAACAAATGTAAATTCTAACTTGTATACACTTTCAAACCGAAAAAGGGAAAACAAATAAACCGATGGTTAAAAACCTGCTAATATAAGCAATTTTTTCTTAGTAATACCTGGGCCAAAGTAGTTCACTATTGCACCTTCAGGCTGGAATTCTTCACCCAGAGGCATTGCAGGTGTTGCCAGTCTTTTAGCCAGTTGGCAGAGTGTATCAGGGATCTTCTTATGCGGGAGAGAGACATCATAGTTTCGCTACATCGTGAACATGACATTAGTTAGATACATGTTGTAACGTAACTTTAATGCATGGACATGCTATTTTCTGTTTATTGAATAAAACACTCAAATGCACAAGAAAATACATTCAATGTAATGTCAGTGGAGCAACCTTAAATTGTTTCCCACCCAAATCAGTTAATATCCAAGTGACAATGCAATTTTTATTTAGTGAAACTGCTTAATATGCTTTCAAAATTGGAAAAATGAATCAGCTCAGCACAACCTTGGACCAGTCAAATTGCAGGCCAAGGGTGCTCCAACGCAATTTCCGCAATAGAACTGAAGCTGAAACTGATTTGCACGTGCTCCCTTTCAAAGACACCTCATGTTCCTCAAAGAACTTCCAACCGTGAACACCTCCATTGCTGACAGAAGGATCACATTCAGAATTTGAACCCCCATCTGCAACCAAAACTTTCCTCTCATTCGCCGCAATAAACAAGTCATTTATAGGCCCGTAAAATGCATTGTGATTTGTTCTGTTAGGAGGCTGCGGGAAGCTGGTTAAACTCTCCTTTATCCACTGGCATTGTTCCTTCACACTCAGTGCTCCAGGAATGAAATAAAACCCTGTGTTGTGTAAAAAAAAGGAAATATTTGTATAAACTAACATCTGCAATCAACAAAGAAAACAAACAATAACAACAGTAACTAATATTCCAATTCAAAACCCTAGGATCTTCAAATTCATATATTTCAATTACAATGAGAATAGGTTGATACCTGGGCGATTTTCTAAGGAGAACACGGGCCTATCGAAACCACATCGAAGAGGAACGACACCGTGTGGAAGCTCAACGTTTTGATAGTACGATTCTAGAATGGAATTGAAATCCAATACCTCTGATAAATCCACGGGTTTGGGTTTCCGTTTCCTGAGAGATGGTCAAATTACATGTTTGGTTAACAGAAGAGATTGGAAGCGAAAATCGTGAAATAGTTGGGAAAACGAAGAACAAGTTTTTACTTTTTGGATGATTTGTAGGTGTCTTCGTAATACAGCTTGTACTTCTTCTCCGCTCTTCTGAACGCGGTTCGTTCCAAATCCTCCGGGACTGAACCGGATTCAGATCCGTACATTTCAGCGAGTCGCCTCGGTCGGTGAGTTAACTCCGAGTCACGAAAGACAGTGACGTAATTATCGGAGGCGTTTCACTAGGGTTTTATCGCGCGTTTTCAGTTCACAGCTGAGGTGGGGGCTGGGCTCGCACTTCTTGGTTTCGCGTCGCCGCGGTGGTTTTCTTTTTCCTCTTTTGCCCCTTCGCGGCAATAATTTTCTCTGTAATTAATTTTTTTGTATCGAAATTTTTTCTGTAATTTAGTTTACAAATAATTTACATTTTTAATAAAACTATATCTTGCCGCCAAATTATACAAAATCCCAATACCATCATAAGTCTATTATTTTTGATACACTACACAATTCTTTTGTAAAAACAAAAGAAAAAGTTCCCCTTAAAAAAAAAGTTTTATGCAATATCTTTTTGTGACTTATAAAAGTAAAAGTGGGTGTCAGTCCGACTGAAATTAATGAAATTGCTTGATCCTAATAATGACTGGTTTGATTTGATTTTGACCATAAAAATGGTCAAATGATTTCAAATCAAATCGTATCGTAATAATTTTGGTCCGATCATGATTTTAAGCATTTGACCTAAACTGAACTAGACCAATCACTTACTTATATATTCATTTCGTTATATTTTGTTTTACATGTGTAGTCTCTTATTATATATTTGGAGAGAGTTGTAATTAATAACCAGATGAAAATGTTTAAATTGAAGTTTGATAGAACTTTATAGTTATTTATTTAAATTGTAACTATATTAGTTATTGGCAAATTGAGCTCTAAAATGGTTTGATGTGTTCGAAAATGGAAAATATGTAGGAATATTTGTGTTAAAACCGAACCGACGTGCTGTACGAAAAAGAATAAACTAATAAAATAAAAGGAATAATGAAAACAAAATACTGCTCCCTCAAGTAAAATGAAATTATGTTTGAAGGAGTCAAATTGCCTAAAAACCCCATAGAAGGTTTTCTCCCTCGTAATAAACGGTAAACCGAACATGGTGGGAAGAGGAAATAAGCGCTCCACGGTCCAAATACCAATTTCCACCTAAAATACGATTAAGTCCTTACTGATGAGCCTGACTAATGGCACTGAAAAAGGGTACTTTTGTCCTTATAATTTAAAAAATCTCCTGTATTTATCTTTTGGGAAGAAAAGAAACGAATTTAGAGAAAGGAGAGTAGACGACAGAAGAAAAAGAAACACAACAATCTTCTTCTCGGAATCAAAAAAGAGGGACCAGAAATGGCGTGCAGGACTGCGTTGCGTTCCGCTCTGTTAATAGAAGCGTGTCGACCCGTTCATCTCACTCGGAGCTCCGCCTCCGCTTCATTCAGGACCCGCGGGTTCTCCTCTCCCAGGCTGAGTGGGCAGTTCAGGACCCGGGGTTTCCACTTCGCCAAACGGACGCACCTCAACTGCTCCCACAACGAAAACGCGTCGTCTTTGTCTGAGGACGAACAAGGCCCGCCCCAAGAGGCCGTTTTGAAAGCAATTTCAGGTTTCGTCTCTGAAACTTTTTTGTTTAATTTTTTACTTTTTTAAAAAAAATAATATTTTTTCACTCGTTATTGGTATTGGATGTAGAGGTGTCTAAAACGGAAGGGAGAGTTGGGCAAACCACGAATGTGGTGATTGGAGGTACGGTGACAGATGATTCTACGAATGAATGGCTCGCCTTGGATCAGAAGGTATAATAATATAAAGCCATTTATTTGTTTTGCTTTCCTTAGTTTTGATTTAATTGCCCATTTTATATTTTTAAGTTTAAGGATTAAGTTATTTAATATTTTTGAGGAGCTTGTGTTTATAAATGGTGTAAATTTTGTATTTTTAAGGTAAATTCGTACCCAACTGTTAGAGGGTTTACAGCGATTGGAACTGGAGGGGATGATTTTGTGCAAGCTATGGTTGTTGCTGTCGAATCCGTAATTCAACAACCTGTTCCTGAGGTATACATACTTACATACAATGTGTGTGTGTTTATCCCTTGTTGTGGCTGCCCATCATTTTCAATTTCTTCGATAAATAAATATATTTATGAATTGCTCTAGTGCATTTTTTTGCAAGCATTATGTTTTACATGATCTGTTTTGCTTCATATTGATCAGTGGCTGAGCCTTGCCGAAAGCATACCATCAAATCCCATACTCTTGTGTGGCCTTTGTTTTCATTCTAGGTCGGATTTTTGTAGATAGAATTTCATTGAATGTGTTGATGCTCACAAACGCAGCGTAGTTTAATAGGAGGTGAACAGAAATTGGTAACCGCCATTTAATTTCAGGGTTGAATTCTCAAGTATGTGAATTTGCAGACTGATAGAAGCGAATTATGATAGGCATCCAGGGGTGTAGGGACAAATCATTACAATGTTAAATTCATACCTTATAAACAAAATTATGGTGCATTTGAGTTGTTTCTTAAACCTCTGTGTAAGTCCTAAACTACGTGGTAGGTTTAAGATAATTTGATATTCATTGGGGGCAAGGGGAGATCTTCATAGTGATGTCTTCTACCATGGCCCTCCTGCCCTTTGTTCTTGTACAACACATTATATTTCCAACCAAAGTAGTTATCACTGTTGGCTGGGGACAAAATATTTGAGATATAGATGGATAGGCTGAGGAATAGGGTATCCTGAACATGTGAAGCAGTTATGAAACTAGGAGTAGCTTTGACGAGTAATCATGAAGGAAAACTAATGGTTTATGGAGTTGCCACTCAGAAGTATCCTGCAAGTTCAAACCTCCTGAAGAGGAGTGAGAAGGTGCATAAGAGCATGAAACGTGTAAGAAAAATCTTCAACTAATTCTAGGTTTGAATTTGAATTGGCACTGCAGGGGGTTGGGTAGGCTGCATATGTGATAAAAGGAACTAGTGAACTTCTATATTGAGTGTGGTAGATACTTGTCAATGCTCTATTAAGTATTAAGTGAGGTGGATAGCACTGTTGGCCAGAAAAATGGGGTTTAAGTCTCGTCCTTGGTGCTAATAACTGAAATTGGCTCTTGATGCGAACTTATTAGGGTTACATGGAACCAGCCATATGGAAACGACTAATAGTTGAATTTGACCATAGTTCAGTGTTCCCACTGGTTGAATATGATTCAGAAACAGGAATAGCTACTCTAGGCTACAGCAAAATGCTGACCTATGGGAATGCACTTTGAAGTTTAGACTGTTGAGCCTAATTTGAAAGCGGCAAATTGAGATCAATTAATGCCAAATTATTGTCTTTTCTGTAATGCCCCATCATACGGGTATTTTCACCGTTAACATAATTTTCGATCTAAGAAACATTTTTGACATTGAACACTAAGTACTGGGAATCTTTGCTTCTGGGCTTGGTCATGAATCATAATTCCAGTAGTAATCAAGAGTTGATATTTGTTTTAAATCTAGACCTACCATATGATGAAATTCATTTACTCCCAAAGGTTGCTGTAGAAAGTGGCAGGATGATGCAACATCTAACGGCAATCTTTGTGCTTCCATCTTTTTTGTTGCCCCTTTTGAATTATAATCATTTTTGAAATTGTGATTGTTGATATATTTGCTGATGACGTCTAATCTGTCAAGTGGATGAGTTCAATCAACTCACGAATAATAAATGCAAAAGTTTGATGGAGTTTGCTATTTGTTATTGTGCTTTATGACAGGGTCACGTGAGGCAGAAGGTATCATCAAGGGGCAAATATGTATCTGTAAACATTGGACCTGTTCAAGTCATTTCTAGTGAACAGGTCTTCCTCTCCCCTCGCACTCTCCCGCAATGAATTTGCTAATATTATTTCTCTATAACTATGATGGAAAAAAATCTCCATGTAGTTGATGGTAAAATTTACAATTTGTTTTTCAATCCAGTGACACTGGAAGAAAATATTTGTTAACATGGAGTTTTGTTGTGACTTCCAGGTCCAAGCTGTGTACAATGCCATGAGAAGAGATGATCGGATGAAATACTTTTTGTAGCTTGATACTCCCATTTTGTTTGTACTTTTGTACAGAGTGCCAATTTTCTAGGGCCATCCCTAGTCCCACTGCTGCCATCCAATTTAGTCTGGTTTGTGCTCTTTTGGATTTCGGCTAATTCATGATGTTAGTGGGCTGAGCAGTCTCTGGCAATGCTGGTTCAAAGTCTATCCATCTGCTTGCTCAGAATGTATGTAGGTATAATTCAGAAAGTAGGCAGACATTTATCAGTCCTTATTATTCGAATGTCAATTTTATGCTTTTACTATATGTTACTGATTTTTATGGAAGGCTGAGTTACAAATGCTTTTGGGTTTGTTAGCGTGGGCTTGTAACCAATCAGGGCATTAAAGTGATTGATAGTTTCATGGCAAAAAAAAAAGGGCAATGATTTCCCCACTCCTATTTTATCCCCTTACACTCCTTTTTTAGTTATAAAAAAGGAGTGTAAGTGGATAAAATAGGAGAAAAAGGAGTGGGGAAATCACCATTCAAAAAAAATACAATAACCTTCTTTTGCTGGCTATTAGAGACCCTTCAGGACATTTTAGGTGTTTTCTAATTATAGAATCTTTAAACTCTAGTCGTAATTTTCTTTTCTATGATATTTGTTTAGGAAATCTGGTTTGCCTCTTGTCTTTTCCCGAATGTTCACATAATTATGACTTTGCTCCAACTTAAATGGATTGAGGATCCTAATCTTAGGTTAACCTTACTTTGAAAGGGGTTTATCTTTTAAGAGAAGCAGCTAAGACAAGTCTTGGATACTAAGCATCTGATTTAGTTACTAATCTTTGTACTAATCAAGTGCTAATGTTTTACTTATAAATGCCTCTGAGAGGCCATTTGAGAAAATCTCAATAATGCAAGGCCGACCATTATTTCGTCATGCTCATCACGTCTGTCCAAAAAAAGAAAATCATATTCATAGAGCAATAATGTTTTAGTTGGAGATGCTGCCGACATCCCATTTGAGCAAAATTCCAATTAGGTTAATGCAAACAAATGAAGCCTTTGCTTCAAAAGTAGGCTCAAAGGAGAAATGGCATGGATTATACGTAATACATGAACTTTTACTTGAATAATTATGATTATCAAACTAATCAAACACGGTTACCGTTCTTAAAACGATCAACTAATTTACAGAATGAAGCATATGCTTGTAATGGTTCTTGGATGTGGACGTCAAGGACA